ACACCAGACTGAGGAAGTGGTGCAGGTCCAGGGTCTGATCCAAGAGGATTCTGGACTCCCCTTCCACTGGGGGTAAGGGCACCCCACACCTTGAAGAATCAGCCCTTTAGACCTGTATTGCCGTATATTGCCTATAATGAGAAAACCCAAGGCCAGACTGTTCTCCTGCCCGGTTCCTGTGTGAGAAACCGAGGCAGGCCCAGCCTCCCCTTTCTCCTCCTGTGCACGATGCTTTGTTCTGCATCTACATTTGTTTAATGCAGCAGCACAGTTGCCCTTGTTTCCATCTGGGTCAGTGGCAATTATTTATAAACTAGCCAATTAGCCCATCATAAGACGGGATTTTCAGGTCTCTCCTCCATGTCGGTCTTTTCTCCTGAACCTCCAGTCTCTCACTCCGTGTCTCTTTCTCTCTCTCCTCCTCCTACTGCCTCCCCCCCTCTCTCTCAGCTCTCCTCCGCCTTCTGCCTCTCTCCCCATCTCTTCCTTTCTCTTCTCCCCCTCCTGCCTCTCACTCTCCCTTTCTCTCCCCCTCCTGCCTCTCACTCTCTCTCCGCTCTCCTCTGTCTCTGTCGGGGATGCCCGCTGAGGATGTGGCAGGGAACAGGAGCTTGGTCTGTCTGAGGAGGCTCATGCGTGGAGCTGAGCCTGTGTTGCAGAATTCCAGGGCAGACCCAACTCTCTCAAAGCCACATGGAAGCCTGTCTCAGCGTGAGAGGATGGGTTAGCTTGGGCCTCAGCTTTTCCGTACGACTCTACCCCTTGCTGGAGTCTCCTTTGCCTGCCCCCTAGTTACGTCTCACTTCAAAACTACTTGCTTCCAAAATCAGACATAAAATACGGACGCGTTACAGACGCTGACGCTTTAATTTTTAACATATAATTCTAAAATAAATCTTTCTGAATATAAAGATGGTACGTATCTTCCAGTGTGTGGTGTAGAGAGCCGTATGAATAAGCCATTGCCTGGATTAAATGTTAGTCTGTTCTGAATTCACTGGTGCTTTTTATGTAGCCAGTTATCAAATGAGGCAAATATCCAGACGAGTTGCTGTACTCCATGGGAGACCCCTGCGTACCCCGCTGGGAATGCATATCCCTGAATGAGAACTGCGGGGCTAGATGACCTTTCAAGGGTCCTTCCAGCTCTGTGTTTCTGTGTTTGGAGTGGTGGGGAAGAGGGAAATTTGAATCTGAGATTTGCATGCAGCCCACTGCTGAGACTAAGGACAGCCACAGAGTCTGGATCAGGACCTAGACGGTGGCAAAGCTGAGGGGTGTTTGATTCTGGGGTTTGGGTTTGTCTCTTGTCCGTGGCGCTAAGTGCTTTGGGCCAAGGAGGGTCTCACGACAGCTGCTGCTACACTTGGAGGTGGGAGGACGGGCTTCCCAGCTTGCACTGGCATATTCGCACCAGCGCTCATCAAGCGAGCCACCATTTGGGAACCACTGCTCCAGGGCTGAGATACTCACACCGGCCGAAAACTCCTTTTCTGATTCTCCCCTTGAGTTGTTATTTTATATCAATGCAAACTGGGCGCAAGATGCTGCTGTTGTGATTTTTGACATAACTTTGCACCCAAGTTGCCCTCCTTTTAAAAACTGCTCTACAATGCTAAAAGCAACCTTCCCCCCACCATGAATTTCTTTTTCCATGTCTCTCCACTTCCTGCCCCACCTGGAAATAACTTGCAGAATCGCATCGAATTCATTAAACTGAATTAAGTAGAAGGCAGTTGCAAAATTGAAAGTGACCTTGCAGCGCAATGTGGTGCTTCCAAAACATCTTGCTACCATATAGTAGCCTAGTTAGTTTGCTACCTGAATGGGGCAGGAGACTCCCCCACCCCAAGGGCAATGAAACTTGAGGGAACAGTCACAAAAGTCTGGCTTTCCTACTGGAATATACCCCTTTCTTCCATGTTCTAGCTGTATCCACCACCAAATAATGAGGATGTTTTATGCCAGGCACCGGGTAATCTAAAAGGGCCCAAATTCTTAAGCTGACGAGATGGGACTAGAAGGAATTTATCTGCCCTCCACCTCTGACCTCCTGTGCAACTTCCCTGGAAACTTGAGAGCAATACAGAAACCTCTAGTGTCTTTCCTTTTGCAGTGAAGTCCCCTGGTCTCCTTGGAGTCCCTCTGGGACACTGGGTAGTGAGAAGTCGGATGTGATGTAGCACTTAGCAGAAAGGGATTGGCAGTGCGGACTCATCTGGAAAATCGACACGATGCAGCTAAGGTCGACCTAAACTCGTAGTTTAGTGCAGGCCATAGTGTCCACTCCCAGACATCACCGCTTTGCTTTCCACTCTCTGCATGTTACAGCCCTTTGCCATTCCTCAGCTGGGGTAACCGCAGCCAGCCATCAACCCAGGCAAACTGGCCCGTGATGAGCTCCCCTTTGAAAGCCAAGCAGAGGGCGTCACCTTTGTCCCATGTGTAAAACCTCCAGCAGGCTAGCGGGGCCTGGGGTGACCCCGTTGGGGAACATCAATCCAAGCGCTCGGCTATTCATTTCTTATTCAGTCTCTCCGGGCCCCAACAAGCCTGGGCTGGAGACCAGTTTTGCCTGCACAGGGCAGGCCCAAGGGACCCATTCTGTGGGGGGCTCTGGTGAGTCAAGGACCTTCTGCATCCCTGAGGGGGCCGCTCTCCAGTGTGTTCCAATGGGCAGGGCACCGGGACCAGCCTGACTCCGCCCAGCCATCAGGGAATCTCCCCCACTGTTTGAAGATGGCTGGATTCCGAGGGGAGAGTTACGGCGAGTCAGGGGCAACTCCCTCCCGGGTGGGACAGATGGGGGGAATGAAGCCTTCCAGCCCTGCTGCAGTGAGGCTGTCTGGTCTCTGATCCCCTCATTTCTGAGGTGCTGCTCCACCGTCTCTCAGTCCCCTGCCTCCCCCCGGCACCACAGGAGTGGGTCTCCAGCCCTGGGGATGAGTTGCTGTTTGTAAAGCTCAGTGATAGATCTTAGTATCTCTGCGATTTCATCCTTCATTCCCTTCCCACACCTCCCTCGAATGCCATCTGCTCCCGGTGATTTACTGCCCTGCCGTGTGCGTTGGGGGGTGGCTGGAGAGTTGATATTTAATTTTTATAGCTGTTTTCATTCAGGAAGGAAAGGGAAGTGCTTTGGGGGCCCAGAACAAGAATAAAACGGAAGATTTTAGTGGGTTTCCTTTGTCTGGGAGATTTTCTTTTCTTTTCTCTGTAGCGTGGCAGTGTTTTGTTTTCCCTCCAATTTCGAGCATCATTCAGAATTGGCTGCAGTGATGCCAGCAAACTCCCAGGACAGTAAAGTACACTCTGATTAGCTCCAGGGCTGAAAGACTAGCACCTGCCAGGCAGGAGACCTGAATAGGCCTGTGGGTTCCTTTGGGACGGCTCCTCACTGAGGTACTTCTGTATGGAAGAGCAGGAGAAGCCGGGTTCTTAGTGCAGCTCTTTGAGGATTCTACACATCTCGGTCCCAACCCGTTCCCTGCTGTGCCGGAGCGGAAGGGAGACCCGCGCAAGGGGAAAGCAGTTTGTGGGGGCACTGGCTGCCATGCTCGGTAGCTGGGGAGGTTCCCTCCACAGCAAGGAATGAGCTAGTGACTTCCTGCTGGTGCAGCTGTTGGCTGTAGAATTCTTTACTTGCTGCCTCTGAGAGGAGCTCTCCTGTCTGCGTGTCACCGAGGGGTGGGAGGCCACCAGGCCCTGCACCCCCATCCGCAGCCAGGACGTGACTGTGGGCCAGGCTCTCTGCCCGACTGCAACTCCCATGATGCAATCCACCGATTCCCATCTTTGGAGGCCTGGCAAGAAGTGCCCAGTGTGACACAGGCAGGGCTGTATTCACGCTGTGAATACAGAACAGAAGGTTTATTGGTTCACAGGGATACACCGTAGGACAGACTTGAAGCACAGGAACCAGGAGCAGTCAATACCATCCATCTTGGGCCCTGGGCTCCCTTCCTGCATCCCAAGTCAGCAGAGACTCACCCAAACACTCAGCAGCCAGTCCCAGCCCTGCAGGCAGCCCTGACTCCTCCTCTGCCCAGCTTCCCAGGCAAAAGGTGTTGCCTGGTTGCACCCCCCAGCTCATGTTACAGTTAGCCTGTGCCATTGTGAACGTGCTGGCCTGGCCAGCCTCCCGCAGTGAGTTGCACCTGGAATTCCCATCCCCGTCTAGCTATGCAGTGTCCAGGGAAACTGAGGCACACACACAGGGTTACCACAGGACAGTAGAAGCCACGTGCGACATAACAAAGCAAACCACGTGAATACAGTCCTGCCTGTGTCACACTGGGCACTTCTTGCCAGGCCTCCAAAGATGGGAATCGGTGGATTGCATCATGGGAGTTGCAGTCGGGCAGAGAGCCTGGCCCACAGGGCTGAACGAGAGCACGAGGCACCTGAACGACAACGCCCATCGGACACCCTTGCCGCTCAGGCAGACACAGATGAATATTGCAGTGACCTGAAATAAAAGGCTTCCGTTCCGCTCAACCACCCACATTTCTGCGATTCGGGTCAACCCTAAACAAAATGCTCATTTTGGTTTCTCACCAGGAAGGTCGAAAAGTTCAGCAAAACTGATATTTCACTGTGGGGAATCTTCCATTTTCCCTGTGTGGGGGGAGAGGGGGATAGTTTTAGTGGAAAATGGCTGCCCGGCTCCAGTGTCCTCTGTGCATTCGTGTGTTCAATGGTATTTCCCCACAGCCGGGCACTCTCCTCTCAGCCCCCGCCAGGTTCTCCCTGCGTGCGAAGTCCATGCTAACGCAGCCTGGCCTCCCTGGCTCGAACTGGTCCTTTAGACTGCAAAGCTCGTGCTTTGGGATCCAAACGTCCTGGGTCGGATCAGTGGCAGACACACAACAGCAGCAGGCATTGCTGCATCCTTTCATTCAACCACTGTAGGCAGCCACCCTTGTGTGCGAGGGATTAGGAAGTATTGGATTAACTTCTTATCACAAGAGGCAGCAATTTGTGTGTCCTGATTCTTCTAGGTCGGAGCCGAGTCCATAAAGGGATACTGTGCCCGCTCCCGGACTGGTGACAGGAGGGATTAACCAGCACAGAGCCCAGACACCATTCCCGGTGAGTAACTGAGCGTATCTTCGATTGCGCGCTGGAATCCGACGCGTGTGGGCCGCACTGTGTGTGTGTGCTCCTGCTGCCACGTGCTCAGGGGCAGAGGGGCTGCTCCCAGGGTTAACCAGGTTTCTAGGTCTGTGAAGGTGTTTGGTCGCATGAATGTAAACATCCCCGAGACCTCGGGTTACCTAGGGGCAGGGCGTGCGTGCCAAAGGTTGGCAATGCTGGTGCGCAGGGAGAGCCAGGTCTCCGCAGGGCTAGCGCTGTGGGCACAGGGGATGGCCAGGGTAAGTCAAGGCCTTGCTAGTGTTTGCGTACTGTCCGGTGTGGTGTCAGACGGGCTGCTCTCCCTCTGGTGCCTGGAGCTCGGTGGGGCCATGCCAGGCTGGGACATGGGGCCTCCCAGAGCGCCCACCGGGGCAAGGCAGCTCCGCTCTCCCTCAAAGTGAGGCAGTGTCTTAAAGGAGCCCGTCACATTTGGGGAGATAAAGAACTCAGCAGTGGGGACCATTGGGCAGGGTATGGTAGTGACTGAGGTTTGCCTTCTCTGGCCGGGGCGTCGGCTGCCACACTGCAGCAACCTGCCACTCGGCAATGCCCAGCCCTCGTTACTGTGTCCTCCCGGTGCTACACTCACGCCTGGGTGACACCAGGATTTCTGGGGGCAGCTGCCATGGGCCTTTGTGCTGCAGTGCACTATGCTGCTGTAGTGAGCAGTGGGAGACGCTCTCTGTCCATCTGGTCTCACGGGGGAATTGCAGGAAGGCAGCCGAGGGTTATCCGCACTCGAGGGATTTGCCACGTGTCCCTCTTGGAAAGTGGGCCGGTGCCAAGCCCGAGGGAAACCAACACTCTAGCCAGTACCCCCAGACTGGACAGGAAGCAGCAGCATAGCTAGATAAGAGGGTGTGTGGTGCAGGGGTGGAAGGAGAGTTTGGAGCAGAAATCCCAGGGCTGTGATGAATGATACCCTGGAATTGCTGGTCCTAGGCTCATTATCACAGTGGGACCTGGAGGAGAACTCCTGAATGATCCCTCGGTGTTTGTTTAGCCCAAACTACTCAGACACAGCTGCCCTCAGGGTCCTTCATCAGCAACCTCTTATGTCTTCACTGGGCGTTTGTGTGTGTAAAAATGGAAAAGAACTCCCAGCATTTGATCCATATGGAGATTTGCTTGAATAGGGACTGAATAACTCTACCCCAAAGTAATTATATTTCTCGTTACACTGCATGGTAATGAGGCTGCGGTGTTATATTCGTAACAGTGACCTTTTCCCAGTCAGCAATGACCAGTTCCTAGCTAGGCGGGTAGAGGCAGGACATCATTTTCAAATTCTGTTAGGTTTATGATACCCTGCAAAGAATCTGTTCTGGCTGGGGACTGGGCCAGAGTTTTCCTTGGGAACCCTTCACGGGGAGAAAGAATAAATTGTTAAATCCAGTGAGCCCTGCATTGGATGGTTGATGTTTTGGATAATGATGAAAGGACCTCAGAAAAGTTCAGATGGGCACTCAAAAATTCAGCTGCACCTCTGGACATCATGGATGCTACAATGGGAGTAACAACACTCTGGTACCATTGACTTTGTTTGAGATGGCTGTAGCACAAAGGAGACTTTTTTTACTTGGAATGCCATGGTTCCCACATTCCTACCCCTAGGCAGAAATGCTGAGGTCCACAAAACTGAAAAATAATTAAGGAACAAAAAGTCACTTACAGTTTTGCAAATCTGAAATGAGGATCAGAGACTAAAATTGAGGGGGACGGTTGAGAACTGTTCTTATTTCAGCTGAATCAGTTTCTGCTTCCATGTTAGTAGATTCTACCTTTCCCCATGGTGTTAATGAACAGGTTTCGATACAAAATGGAACTGAAAAGTTCCATTATAAAGGCAGAATAAACAAAATGGCGGAACAGAAGACCCTCTTCTCAATGGATAAGGAAAATACTATGGTGTAATAAGCTGTCGGTGCCAAGACCCTGCTGAGCTCCTAACTCTGAGGAGAGTGGCCTTTCTCATTCTTGAGTGAAGCGAGCATGAAAGTCTTGGGACCTGAATGCAGCCGAGCTTTGAACAGGAGAGCCCAGAACGTCCACCGCCCTTCTGGCTTCCTGAACTCTGTGGAAGGGCGTCAGCTCTCCTGCTGCGGAGCCTTGTGTCTTTCATTTGTCACCGCTCCCCAAAGAGAATTCAGAGCCAGTGAAATAAGATTTTATTCCAGAAAGGGTCATGAAAACGCCCTCGTTCTGGCTCTCTAGGAGGGGTAATGGAAATGCCCATTATTTGGAGTGTCCAGAGGATGTTGTGAAAAGACCTTCACTTAGGAAGGAACAATCAGTGTCACACACACAGAATGGGAAGCGACTGTCTGGGAAGGAATACGGGAGAAAGGGATCAAGGGGGTATAGTGGACCACAAGCTGAATATGAGTCAGCAGTGTGATGCTGTTGCAAAGAAAGCAAACATTTCTGGGATGCATTAACAGGAGTGTTGTGAGCAAGACATTCTTCCGCTCTACTCTGCACTGGTTAGGCCTCAGCTGGAGTATTGTGTCCTGTTCTGGGCACCGCATTTCAAGAAAGATGTGGAGAAATTGGAGAAGGCCCAGAGAAGAGCAACAAGAATGATTAAAGGTCTGGAGAACATGACCTATGAGGGAAGACTGAAGGAATTGGGTTTGTTTACTTTAGAAAAGAGAAGACTGAGGGGGGACATGAGAGCAGTTTTCAGATATCTAAATGGGTGTCATAAGGAGGAGGGAGAAAACTTGTTCATCTTGGCCTCTGGGCATAGAGCAAGAAGCAATGGACTTAAATTGCAGCAAGGGAGGTTTAGGTTGGACATTAGGAAAAAGTTCATAATTGTCAGGGTAGTCAGACACTGGAATAAATTGTCCAGGGAGGCTGTGGAATCTCTATCTGTGGAGATATTGAAGAGCAGGTTAGATAAATGTCTATCAGGGATGGTCTAGACAGTATTTGGTCCTGCCATGAGGGCAGGGGACTGGACTCGATGACCCCTCGAGGTCCCTTCCAGTCCTAGTGTTCTATGATTCTATGACCGTTAGGTCTAGTAATCTAGAAATGGTTGTGAGAATGTCCATCAGCTGGCAGGTGTGGGGGAAGGGTGCATGGACTGAAGTAGCTCTTGTATTGCCAGATGCACCTTGTGGCGCGGTTTATACCCATCAAAGCTTATGCCCAAATAAATTTGCTAGTTTGAGGCGCCCCAGGACTTCTCGTTGTACTGCCAATGGTTACAAAAACCCTTCAAAACAATAAATAGTCCTGCAGCACCTTGGAGACTAACATGAGCTTGCATGGGCACTACCCACTTCTCTGTCTCCCCGCTCAGAAACCAATAGTGTGTCTGAGCTCAATCACAGGGACTAATCACAAATTAATCCTGACTCTAATCGCTCGTTCAGGTCAGTTATCAGCCACGGCTGTTCCTGTCCTTTCGGGATTAGTAGAGCACTCCATAGCACTGTAAGCCCTGGCCTCCTGGTGACCTTAGCAGAGCCCTGTACAGATACAAAATGGGTATTTGAATTCGCATCTGCAAAAATGATCCGCAGATATCTGCATCCACAGCTGCGGGTGCCCGCGGATATAAAGTGGATCTACATGTCTAACATCAAGATGCATTTTGAATGTATGTGTCAGGCTCTGTCTGTAGCTGGTTATTGTAAGTCTTGTGTGGCGGAGGTGATGTCATTGGAATAGAAGGGTTAACGGAGTTGTGTGGCAGTCAAGAAAAGCTTAACTCTCTGGACAAATTATCTTTCTGGGCCTGCGAGATCTTTGTCCACGAAAGGAATCTGCAGTAGCAAAACAGGTGCATTTGCAGTGACTACGAAGCTGCAATTCAGTCCCAGGGCTGCACTGATAAGCCACGTCATAAACCACGAGAACACAACATCAGCACATTAGGAATGGAAGTGCCGAGGAAAGGCTTGAGAGCAAATTTAGCCTAATATCAATCCCTGGGCTATCAGTTGCTATTTATAACACTCACCCTGCAACTGTAGCTTTTCAGCAAGAGATGGGCAAGTGCTTCATACTTTGGCCCCTTGACCACTGGCAGGCACTCGCTGCCTGCCCAATTCTTTGTTCTCAGGAAGTGATTATAATCAGCTGATAGAATATTATAATTTTGACACTGGACTGCTGTACAGTTTGGGGTGCATCTGATGGGGAAGTTGGTAAGTGTGTTTGGAGCCATGTCCCATTTAATTCTTATTGCTCCACAGTGCCTGATACCGTGACATCCTCTCCAGAAGTCAGGCTAACTCGGGAGCAGTTAAACTTCTCTCATGCAGCAAAGGAAAATTGTCTAGTTGATAGATCAGGAGGCTGGGATCCTGATGTGCTGTTACTAGCCCTATCAATCTTTCACTTTCTGGGGCGATTTCACGTGTAACAAGATCATGATTAGTGTTTAGAAATAGCCCTCTCCCTAAAATATTTCAGGCTAATCTTCCGTTCCCCTGCCTTCTCTCTAAGGCTGCATCTAGACTGGCAAGTTTTTCCGCAAAAGCAGGTGCTTTTGCGGAAAAACTTGCCAGCTGTCTACACTGGCCGCTTGAATTTGCTCAAGAACACTGACGATCTAATGTAAGATTGTCAGTGTTCTTGCGCAAATACTATGCTGCTCCTGTTCGGGAAAAAGCCCTCTTGCGCAAATGTATTTGCACAAGAGGGCCACTGTAGAGAGCTAAAAACTGTTTTGCGCAAAAAAGCCCCGATGGTAAAAATGACAATCAGGGCTTTCTTATGCAAAACCGCATCTAGATTGGCATGGACGCTTTTCCGCAAAAAGTGCTTTTGCGCAATAGCTTCCGTACCAATCTAGACGCTCTTTTCCGCAAATGCTTTTAACGGAAAAACTTTTCTGTTAAAAGCATTTGTGGAAAATCATGCCAGTCTAGACTCAGCCTAAATGTATATTATCCATGTCTAGCTTTCCCCTCTGCTTTTGAAAGTTACAATTCTAAGCA